GAGAAACCACTGATCTTAGTGATAAGGTTTTTACAGCATTTGACAAGTACTGCAAAAATTATTTAAAACTTGCTTGGGAGAAACGTTCATATTATTTGAAACTGGTTTGATTTTACATTGTTGCTTTAAGTTACTTTTCTTTGGTCTTCGGTATTTAATAGGCCTAATTGTTAAGCCTTTTGTTTTTGTTTAATTCTAATTTTGTTTTCATCGATACTTTTGTTAAGCTTTGTGTAAATTGATTATGCTCTCTTTACACAAGCAATGTTATTTTTTTTCCTACTGTATTTAATAGGCCTGTTTTTGTTTTTGTTTAATCCTTTGTTTAGTTGTAGATACTTTTGTTAAGCCTTGTCTAATTTGATTATATTTCTTTAATAAGAGGAGAGCAAGTTGTTCCCTTAGTTTAAGATTGACTGCACCACTTAATTGTGTGTTGCTACTGTTATAAAAGGGAAATGTCGAATAAATTATTATTATTATTATTATTATTATCAGTTAATTACACGCAATCGATCCACTGGAACACAAGGAAGCGACACTTTTCGGACAATCAGCATCCATGTACAAAAAACGCTTGCTACTTTTGTGGGGAAAGCAATCACTCGATGAAAAACTGTCGCCATGGTAAGCCAATTGTATGTCACGCTTGCTCGCAACAAGGACACAAACAAAGTCATGATATTTGCAAAGGGTAGAGGTTTGGCCAAGAGGAATGTGCCGATTCCATACAAAAGAGATGTAGTAGTGCAAGATGATGTTAACTCTAATTTATTAATTGATTACTACACAGAAAACAGATTTTCAATTCTTAACGATGAAGTAGATAAAGTTGATACATACAATGACGATGGTAATACTGTGATAGAAAATAGTAAAAGATAAATAATAATCCTATTAATAATAACAATATAACAATAAACATAAATACAAACATTGATGATGATACTGATTTTGTAAATAATAGGTCCACATTAAAGCATAATATTTATAAACATAGACGTTTAAGAAGAGGAAGGAATAAAAAGAAATTTGATACCCAGAATATTAAAGTAGCTTATAACAATATTCGTGGGCTCAAAAGTAAAAAGTATGAAATCAATAAGTTCCTGTTTTCTAATAATATTGACATTTTTGGCATTACTGAGACTTTCTTAAAAGGGGACGAAGAATTAAAATTTAAAAATTTTAACTGGATCGGCAAGAACCGTAACTGTATTTGCAAGAAAAGCCAGGGAGAGTTTGGGTTCTACATAAAGGAGAATATTAAAATTCTTGATGACAATTTATTTGACACTAAGTCAGATGATATTGAAAGGCTTTGGATTAAGGTACAATTATAACGAATCGCCAAATTATACATATTTTTTAGCCACTGCATATTTTCCATGCGAAGGCACCGATAGGCCCTTAACAGATGAAATTTATTCCACACTTCTTTCCGAAGTACTAGCAATCCAGGATGAATTTGAGGATTGCAAGATAATAGTTCTTGGAGATTTTAATTGGAAAGTTGGAAGGGAATAACATAATAAAAGGTGATAAAGATACTAACTATAATGGTAGGGGTCTCATAAACTTTAATGATGGAGACCTCTTCATGTTAAATGGTAGCGATAAATTCACTGGTATATTTGCATGGGTACAAAACAACATTCAAAGTGTACTAGATTATGTAGTTGTGTCACACAATTGTTTATTGATAGGGGCTTATCACTTAGGTAGTGACCACAATGTTTTAATACTAGATCTACTTGAAACTAACACAAGAATTAAATGTCTCTACTACTAACAAAAACAAGATCATCTGGAATATTAATAAAGATCAAAATTGGTGTCCTTTCCAAGAGTCTATCAAAAATAACTTTACAAACTGGGACCCAACTAATCTAAATATTAATCAAGCTTGGGAAGAATGGAAATATAATGTAATAAAATCAGCAGAGGACACTATTGGTCATAGAACAAAACGTAAAAATTGCAAACCATGGTTTGACGTAGAAGTAGAAGAAAGTATTAAAATTCGAAAACAGGCATGCAAATCGCACCGTTCTTACATGAAAAATTTAAATAATACTAACAGTAAGATACTAGTGATACTTTATGGAATGATTATTTAATTAAACGCAAAGAATGTAAGTAAAATCATGCAAAAGAGAGTTGAGAAATGTTCAGAAATTATGGCTAAAGGTGGTTCACAATGTAGAGATTTCTGGGTTGAACTTAAAGGTAGAACAAAGTCACCGGACATTAACTCGATTCTTGTCCCAGGTATAAAAAATGTTACTTGTGACACAAAAACTATTAATAATTCTCTTGAATCTTATCTTAATAACATAAATGAAATATAGTCTAATGAATCTCTTGATCTATTTAATATACCTGAAAGTATTTGTAATTCAACTAATGAGGATAATCTCCCAACTCTGGATAATTTATCTTTTTCGATAGATTATGTTTCTTATGCTATTTTCCGTTGTAAAAATTACAAAAGCCCTGACCAAGATTCAATTACAAATGAATTAATCAAGAATGGTGGAAATAGTATGATTAAATCGAATGTAGGTAAGAATGGCCCCGGAAAAAATGGCCCCAGAAAAAATGGCCCCGGAAAAAATGGCCCTGGAAAAAATGGCCCCGGTAAAAATGGCCCCATATGACAGGTAGGTAAAAATGGCCCCAATGAAAAATTTGGCAATAGAAAGGATATATTTTTTTTAAATCTTCAAATATTTAAATACTGTATAAGTAAGAACTGAATCAAGAAATAAAAAATGGCCCTCAATTATAAAATTCAAGAAAAAAAAATTAATAATAAATAAATAAATAAATAAATGCTGTAAAATACCCTGTAGCAAAAATTTAATTAATAAATCAACATAAAGAATATGCATATTTGAGAACTAAAATAAATTAGTTTTTGTTACAATACTTTAACTTACAAAGCAACTTTAAAAAAATAGTATCATTGCATGCATTAAAAAAGATACTGTTAAATTAGTATTAGAAACTTTTTAGTAGGAATACATATATACAGTACAGTAAAATGTACAGTAGTCAGCGAGTTCGTCAAACAAGGTATAAAAAAAAGTCTCACCTTGGGTAGCATCTTTTTAAAGAAAATCATTAATTTCATTAAAAAAAACACAAGTTACTGATTGATTAAATAATTCTATTTTAAATAAGAAATGATTATGCACAGTAAAACATAGGACAACATTTAAAAGATCATTATATTAGTGCTACTGAAACTGTTAATTATTTCAAGGTTTTATCTAAGTGCAGATCCAAGTTTGATTGCTTAATTAAAGAAATGCTTTGGATCAAAGAACTGAAACCTACACTTAACAAACTGATTTAGTCAAAAAGCTAAACTGTTTATCTAGTTAATCTGCTAAGAAGGGCTAATTATTGCTTAGCTCCACTGTGGCTCCAAAGCCCTATTGATATGTAAATTAATTACTTACTTC